ATGGCTATGTGACCCTTGCACCTCGAATTCAAAAAGCTGTTTAGCTTGAGAAATGTTGAAAATGTACAAGTTTTTGACTAAACAGCTTTCAACATTGTTTTTTATTATGTAGTTATCCAATAAGTTTTATGGCCAAAATCATCTCTTATATGAAAAAGAATGGTATTGTTTCTCTTTCCATATTTAATGGTTTGTTTTTTATGCTCATCAACTCTCATGTTAACACTTCTTCCAGTTTCACCTAAATAACCTTTCTCATGGGATTGACATGGTATAATATAAACACCTTGTATTTTATCTTAAGGTGTGTATTTATTTGAAACTAGGCAAATTTCAATAGTATTCAAATATTTGTATGTGATTCTAAAGTTATTCTTCTTATTTTTTGTCAGGGGGAGTCTAAATGTTTGTTGTAGCCAATATAAAGGGGTTTTATCGTTATAGGTGATAAAGTTCTTTGAACATAGTAAACATATTTTTTAATTTCATGGCAAGCGTTTCCAGGTGATAAGTTCTGTATGTGTGTGTGTGTTTCTTATAGCAAGGCTACATCGGGCTATCTGCTGTGTCCACCGAGGTGGCATGGAAATAAGTAAAAATATAGTTAAATATTTTTCTGGTTTTTGATATACAGCAATAACAGGTTTCACGTTCGTTCTGACTATCAAAATATCCAAGAAAAAAATTGTTATCCTTTTCGTTTTCAATATGCGATTTAATTCCATCTAAGAAGTTGGCGAACCAACAGAGGGCTACGCCTTCTTTTTTAGCCAGGAAATAATGAAAACACAGGTGTGTATGAGATGAAACTCAACATGTCATGAAAGTGAATATATAGATTTTTAAACAACAAACAGAGGAAAAAAACGGAGTTGAATCAACAGTAGAAATATTCAAAGAATAGTTAACCCTCAGCATAGAGGATAGATATGGTTTGGTAGGTTCTACATGAAAACATCTTCATGAGCAGGATCACCTGGTTGCTATGATATCACATAAAGGTTGAACAAATGTTCTGCAGATGGTAAGAGTGCCTGAAGATAGTAAATAGGAAGAGAGAGAGAGAACCTTCAAATATTCATCAGGGGTCCGGACACAGCTGTGAATATATAAAATTTTAATATTTCTGATTAGACCTAGGATCTTCGGAAAATAGATAAGGTCATAAAATTCCTGAGTTGTACTACGTATTTGTATGTTTCAATCTACTAGAAGAGATGCAGAGATACAGATAAGATCGAATAAAGACTTTTTACGTATACAGGAATGGTGGGTTTAAACTCCAAGAAATTCCCATTAATTTTCGGAGCAGATGGAGTTGAGAGATGATCTTTTGTTCAAGATTTACAAGGTGGGACTTCCAGGTAAGTAGATTATGAAATATGATTCCAATATATTTGACTGTATTGCAAAGGCAGATGGGAATAACGCTCAATTTAGATATGAAAAATAATAGGTCCCGGAAAGGTCGAAACTTTTGGTGGATTGGATTGAAGGGAATGGCTTTAGTTTTGCTAGAGCTAATGGTAAAACATTAGCAGAGATTCCAAACAAAGAAGATGTTGGCTGCAACCTATAGGACTTTGTTCTTTTTTGAAAGTGACTATTGTCTTGTAGGTGGCAACGAGCGCTGCGAAATTGGCGTATTAAAAGATATGGACTGGAAATTTATGAATGAACATATCAGTAACATATCATGTGTAAAGCAGGGGTGACAGAATCGAGCCTTGTGGAATTCCTACACTCAAGAAGGAAAAAGAATGAGTGCTCTCAATGAAGACAGTTTCTTGTCGATATTGGAGATATGAATGTATCAACAAGACAAAAGTAGCAGAGCGTACCGTGTGGCAGAATCTGTTGACGATGTCACGATGACAGATAACGTCAATAGCCAAATAACATAATACACGAAGGTTTAAGTTAATTGATATTATTTCAGATGATGTCTGGAAGTTTTAGGAGTTGATGTGTGTTGGCAAACACCAGCTTGAGTACTAGTGGTTAAATTATGGTCCATAATAAGCGTACGTTGTATGCAAATAAGAATTATTACCCAGGTTTTACTGAAAACATTACTGAAGCTGATGAGACAATATCAACCAACATATACAGGAGGCTTGGCAGATTTCGGAAAGAGTAAGAAAGTCGACGCTTTTCAAGAAAATGGGTAAAAGCCTTTGCGAAGTATAAAGCTGTAAGATGTCGCCAGGAGAATAAGGAACCACACTGGGGAGTACTGAAGATGTAAACAGGCAGAAGCGTGCAAAAGTGGCGGGACAAGCAAGAGCCCAGGCCTCTCCAATAACTCTATGTGTATGGACCCCCTAATTTTAGTGAGTGTACTGCTGTTTATTTCTGTGCATATGAGATGTGTTTGTGTTGCTATATATACAGACTTGTAGTCGACTCCTCAAACCTCCAATTAGAGTCGTCATTGTCTAAGTTCAAGTCACGAGCCCCTAACTTACTCACACCTGTCAGGTGATCTTGGGACGGGTACTCCAGCTAGTAGTAAATAATATTTGTCATAAGACAATAGTATTAAATGTATTTTTTCAACATTACGGAATTCATTATTGAAACATTTCATGAAAAAGTGACTCAGAATATTCTTAAAAAAAGACACTAAAAGAACCCACCAAACAAAAACACTTACATGGGTTGTGGCTTAAATTTATAACAAACCATCAGAGTCATAAGTGTTACCGAACAAACTAGTGATAACGTAATTTTCAATCACATGATGTTGCTATAATGCATTATGGCTCTGTAAATCGGTATCCAACAGTGTCATAAAATATTGACTGAATGCCTTGTCGAAGTTTCCGACCCGTTGAATCAACTCAATTAACACGTTATAGTACTTTATACAAGTAATAAATATTTGCAAAAGTTACTTTGATGTAGGAGTGGGAAAGTAAAAAAATACAAAGACAACGTAGGAATAAATACACAAAACCATACAAAATCCCTACATAAGTAGCCAGTAAGTAGTGAGTCAATTTTAAAAGCTTATGGTTACTAGCCATTGTAAGATTATATAACACTTTTCAGTTTAAATGCTTTATTCAAACCTGAATTCATGCAAATGACATTAATCTAACATTTAGTTGTAGATAAAAATTATTCTTAAAAATATTTGGCTCCTTAGGTAGTGATTTTTGCATGTTTTTGTGTATTATTCCCTACCTTATTTCTGTACTTTTTGGCATTGCCATCCCCATATTATACTAAATTTTTGCAAAATTGTTTCTATTACTTGTTTCCCTCCTTAAATACACCATTTCGATACCTCACTACTATAAAGGCTTGGTTTGGTCTGATATTTCATTGGTGGTAATGTCTATGGTCACTGATGAGGAGTGGAATTCTCCGAAATTAGTCTGGCCTACAGACACCCCCCCCCCCAATGAAAGAATAGACCATTCAAAGCTTTTACTTGTTGCTAGCCCCCCAGTGGCACAGCGGTATGTCTGCGGACTTACAACGCTAGAAATCAGGTTTCAATACCTGTGGTGGGCAGAGTACAGATAGCCCATTGTGTAGCTTTATGCCTAATTCCAAACAAACAAACAAACTTGTTGTTAAACAAATGTTTAAACAGCTCTATTCAAATCGTAATATATATTGTTAATATCATATCAGTTTCTCTAATTTTGATTTACGTTGGGGGCCAGTGAAGCGAGAATGGTTCCTTCAGGATGATACAAATACCCCGAATCACTGGACTGACATTAAAAGGATATTGACAGAGCCCATTCCTTCAAACTTCATCTCAACTCACTGCATATGCATAAAATAGACTTCACAACATACTAGGATTATGCTGATTAATAGGTAGGAGATCATAAAGATCCCAGGCCATGAAGTATGATATTAAGCATCCACACACAATTACCAGGCTCGGCCCTACTCAAAATTTGAAGAAAAGTAGACCTCTATATAATGCATTGTTTTAATAATTAAGAAACTGGTGTTTTAAAACTCACACACCAATAACCTGTGCATAGATTTGTCAGTTGCATAAATACTTGATCTCCTTGATTATTAATTTGAATTATTCTTTCTTTCTTTTTATTTTTGACAGCTATTGTGTTTATGCATGAAAGTCAGAAACGGTCGTTATATAAGAACAACCTGTCATCTAGCTACTAGAAATGAAACTGGTGTTTATGAAACATAGAAATAATATATGCTTATAAACTAAACTCACTGCTAAGTAGTAGTTTTCCTTTTCATTATTTCACAAGAAAAATACGTGTGATAGAAAAAACAGAATAACATCACTGTTATACAAGCTGTAAAACACTCGATAATGCTAATTAGGTGCTCAAACAAGGCTATAAGTCAACTTAACCAGATATTTATAAGCATCTAAGAGTAACAGATTGAATGAAGCAGACATTTTTTTCTCCGTCCATCCCTACATACTAAGCTCTACAGTGCTTAGTGATAGGTATCCAAAAGGGTCATAACATGTTGTGAGGAGAGAAAATCCACTATACACTTTATATAAAAGTCCAAAGATACAGCTTTTGAGTACATTGTTTATTTATATTTACAATCCTCTCAAAAGCCGTATCTCTGGACTTTTATTTAAAGGTTTATAACCTATTGCATAAACGCGCTGTCGAAATAGACAATATGACTGTCGTAATTCTTGCAAGACCTCATATTTTGAAGCATATATAAATATATATATATATATATATACTATCGATTTTATATGATAATTATCCACTAGACATATATATATATATATATAGTAATTATTTGTTTGTTTTTATCGTGAAGGTACACAATGAACTATCTACAAGTTGTCCAACTCGGGAAATCGCAGGTTTATAGTGTAAATTTGTAAACTTACACGCTGATCCACCAGGGAACACACATTTATGTAGTAAGTGGGAAATAGAATTATTATATTATTATTATTACTGAAGTTACGACTGTGTCTTGATCCAGCAGATGGCAGGTTTGTATATTAGGCCTATTTACTGTTTGAATAAATACTAAAATAGTAAACTGAGACGTACAAAATATGAAATTCGAGTTGTATTTCTTTATTTTGTAAACTTTAAATTTTATTGAAGTGTAATTTTTGTATAAAATGTTTCTGCCACAAACACCTTATTTTATGTTTTATTTTTAGTAACAACCATAAGTCTTGTTTGAGGTAATGTATTAATATAAAAAAATGACTTAGCACTAACACTAACTTCAGATTAGAGCAAGCTACCTGAATGAGTACTGATAATATTGTCTAAATTTGTCATAAAAATATAAGTTATTTATTTCAATATAGCTTTAGCTAATTAAATCAATTGTTCTTACGCTGTTACTTAATATTAAAAGACTAGAAAGCACTATTTCATCAGTTAGGTTCGTTGTTAAAATTAAATATCTTTCTGGCCATAAACATAATATTTGACGAAGTTCGACCAGCTTAGAAGATTTAAAAATAAAAACGTTTTTACTGCCGAATCAAACTAATGACGAATGCTTTCCAAGTTGTATTGCTGGAGTATAATTTTAAATTATAGGGCTTTTTTATTTATTCTTTCCTTACTGTGAAGTTCTAAGTTAGTCATAAATCCAAATACTGAGGATATAGTGATATCACATTCTAAGCCAAAAATGCAAAATAATCTTTATTATTAGTTTATAATAAAAACATATAAGTAACAAATAATATATACAACAAGAATGGCCATGTAATATTACTAATATTAGTGGAGCACACTACCTTACTTTCTTTTTGTTGTTGTTGTCTCTAACTTCCAAGACTTAGACTGGCCCTATTAATATTATGGTAAGCTATTCTCATACATGATTTAATTGTTAATTAAATACCAAAAATACATAATGATGACATTATCAAGAAGTATCACTACAGTATAGAGAAAAATTGTAAGAAAAGAAAACATAAAATCCCAGTTTGTACATATCTTGCATAGGAAGATATAGAACAAACTGTGTTTATTGCAACACACTATATTTTTTTCAATTAACGAAATCAGTTACAGACAGGGTTATGTAAGTATATAATAAAACAGAAAAAATAAAAATGATAAAGTTCAATCACCATCATACTGCTAGAGATTGGTTTACTATGAAAATGAGTATTGGGAATGACAACTGGAATATGGTAATGAGGCAATTATATTATCTGCATATGCATAATATTTCTAAAAGAAAAGAAAACAAAAACACTGGAGCAAAGTGTCAATTTTGAATCGCAAATGCTGTAGATATACATGTTTCCATCTCAATCCCATGTTCATTTTGATGATCAATAATGAAAGAAATTATGTTAAGTAACATGTGAATATCACTCGGTGAATAAAAACTTTATTCTTTTAGAACTTAAAAAAACGTGTAAGTCATTAAACTTAGATTTCCATTATGATGTTTTACAATCTAACGTGATGTCAAAATTCATTTTTGGCCTTGCCAAAACAAAAGTTTTTTCTTTTTTGTTGATAAATAATCCTGTTGATTGCTGAAACTATATATAGAGTTCAAAAATAACTACAATGTACAACAGAATATTGATTTTAGTTTTTTCCCCAACTTATTTCGTTAGTGGTCAACTGAAAAAAAAGCTTTTAAAGGATACGTGACCACCTGCCTACAGTCCTAATTTTGTGACAAAAAAAAGTATTCACAAAACTAATATCACTTGAAAACTATTAATTTGAGAACAGATATTTGTTATTTGAATATTTTATTTTGATTGTGACAAGTCATGATTTTCCCTAGTTGGTTATTACAACTGGGAATTTTATTCAGTAACTGAAGAAGTACTCTATTACCTCTGTAGCTTGGGGAAGTAATGTTAGCACTATGTTTTAAACATTAAACTTGTTTACTTATTGTAATTGTAGATGTACTCTATTACCTCTGTAGCTTGAGGAAGTAATGTCAGCACTATGAATCTGAGGATTGTTACTGTATCCCGAGAGACCATCATGCACCAACTAATTATTTCATTAAACTAAACTCTCAAATAGTGCTATTATTCAGACTTATGTTTATTATGAACCTAAAGAAACAAGATAGGTAGCTTCTAGTGAAAATGCAATCACAAAAAATAAACAAGAGTTAATGTTTGAAACATAGTGCTGACATTACTTCCCCAAGCTACAGAGGTAATAGAGTACATCTACAATTACAATAAGTAAACAAGTTTAATGTTTAAAACATAGTGCCAACATTACTTCCCAAGCTACAGAGGTAATAGAGTACATCTACAATTACAATAAGTAAACAAGTTTAATGTTTAAAAGGCTACATGCAGATTAGATGGCTATTGCTCCTGTCATCATTGATAGTGGTACTGAATGTATGATCTCTATTATGCATGATGATCAGTATACCACATGTCATGTATATGCTTGTAAAATATATGTATAGCTACTATACTTCTACCTCGTAGCTATATAGGGAGTCTATAAACACTGGATTGGAGGGACTACTGAACTATACTCTAATGGTGCACGTACTGGATTTTGTAATCGCACAAGTTTTATACATTCATGCAATGCATGTTGGCTAGTATTTATATCTATCTATATACATGCAGGCTTTATAGTTTAAGTTGTAAAGCCAGATATATAAATAGCTATATGATTTTTTTCAATTTGTAAAGATGCATGCATATTTATTCAATGCAAATATAAGACAGTGTGTCATAATATAATGGGATATGTATACAAACAAGCATTTTTAATATTTTTTATAGTTGTTATATTTCCCTCTTCCTTCTCGTCCTCTCCACTGGTCACAGTAAGGTTGGTCATGGTTTTGCTGCAGGTAGCCAGATTTCATTATGCACACTCTACAAGGTTGTAAATGTGTTAATTAACAGTTATGAATTGATTATATAAATATACCTTTCCCCCCTTCTTTTCTAATGGAGTTTGGGTCATGACAATTTTATGACCCTCTTACACTGTGACGACCCTAAACCCTGATAGGCTGTTGCTACTGCATACTTTATCTGAAACTAAATATTTTCTAGATAAAATATATAGCTACAAAATTTCTGCCTCACTTTTGCCTAGAATTGCCATAATTTTCACTATCTTCTGCTTGCATAATTCTTGCCACTCCTTATAGTCAGCTTCAAGTATGGCTACTTTATCTGCAGTATCTAAAATTTGCAGTGTTGGCTATAAATCGACACTTACCATCAACCATCACTGTGGCTCATCCAATGTTTGAAACTGAGCTTGGTACTATATTATGGTACTATATTTAAATTATGGCTTAAAGATTTCTGTTGTGGGAGATGGCCTAAACGTTTGTGTGACATGGCCAAAATTGATCATGCAGTGATAAAAAATGTTATCTTGTCAGCAGCATCATGTTTGAAAGGACAGGAACCCTATACCTAAACAAATGATACGTGACATCAATACAGTTGCAACAGTAAGTTAATTGCTATGGTACCTGTATCATGCTTGTGATATAAACATTAAATTACATCAGTGGCCTGTACACAGCTATATACGTATGCATGTAGTAGATTATAAGGCTACACATAAACCACAGACTACATTAAAATGATTGGGTGTCAATGATTATACAGCCACTGTTATTTGCTAGGTAGTTAAATAAACTTAAAACTACTATACACAATGTGAAATGATGCATTTGGTAATACTGTCCAGGTTTTATTACAATACTCACAGCCATTTTTGCTGTAGGCTAGTGGAAAAATAATAAATAATAATAAAGAAGACCAAACAGGGAATTCCTATTATGAACCACTATAGTGGTTCTTGATAGTCCTACTATGTACTGTAATTCTGGTTATCATTTTTTAATCATTATTTTACTTTAACCAGTATCCTCTTAACTTTAACTTTTCCATGGATTTTTGAAATACTTTCAGTGTATGATGCATCATTTAATATACAAGGATCTATAATATCTTTTAATCTCCCAGTCTATTCACTGAGCTTTTGTGCCTTTAACGTTTTTAGTGGAAATTATTTAATTGTGTAATAAATTCCACTTTTCTCACTATTGTAAACCACATTTTGATTTCTCCTCAGGAATCTTGGTACGGATCACTGTATGATGCAACATTTTTGATTGTTTTGCACCTCCAGAGTACACTTTTATTGATCATGATCTACCATTTTTGTATACTCAACTTTATGATTCAGTTGATCAACCTTATTGAAGCATCAGTTATAGTTTTACCCCTCCACCAAGAAGAACGATATCTAAATCAAGTCAAGACAGTTGTTAATGCAAGTATCGGTGGAAATTTTGATGATGGGTATTATGTCTTAGTTAACATAGGCTCACCTCCACAGAAAGTAAGTACATGTTCGCATACAATCTAATTTGTAAAATAAGAATCACTAGGATATGTTAATTTAATCTCCACAGCTTAATATGTACTTAATTTCTTGTGTTAATGTGTGTGCGTGAAATATATATTTTTGCATAATCTTTACTCTCTTCAGTTTCACCTTTTTTTCAATGTGGATATTCTGGATTTTAGTATATCAGAGGAAAATCTACCTGATTTTAATTTTACATTTTTTGGATTAAAATGAATTTCAAATGGGTACTTACCTCTGAAATACCTTTCTTCTTGCCTCCCTACAAATGGGCAATATATGGTTTTCATGATGACTGCAACTTAGAAATGAAATGTGGCTGGAAAGTAGAAGTGTGGAAATTATGGGTAAGTGATGCATACTGTCATTGTGAGTCAAAGTCAACAAGGAAAGGCTTTCTGTATTTCAAAGGTTTGAAATTCATTTTAATTCCAAAGATGTGAAATTTAAGTGGTAGAAAATAAAGAACATCTGTTAGAAATAAGTGGGTTTCGTCTTCTTCTCATTTCAAATAATGATTAGCTATAAATATATTTCTTATAGAAAGGATATAACACTATGGGTACATTGATTCGTCACAAAATCTCACAAAAGAGATTTGGATTTGATTGCCTATATGTTTTTATTTAGAGACTGACCAAAAATAAAAAATCCTGTAGACCAAATATTCTTAATTAAATGAAGTAAGTCTTCTTCAATAATGAAATATCTTGCTGTGATAAAATCTGAGTTATTAAATTTTCTTAAGTTTATAGACTGGCTAATATGTTTTACTGATCTCAAGCTTTAAATATTCAACAACAATTTGTACAGTGGTTAATATAAAGTGCACTTTCATCACAAAAGGTACAAGAATAAGCTTATCTTTGTCAACTTCTGTTTTAGGTCATCCTCAGTTTCATTAAGTATAAAATAACTAGTCCACATGTATATATTTTTTAATATTAAGTGGATCATCAGCTAATGATAATAATTAAATACTTCCTGGTTTAAATAGTAAACTGTAATGTAAAACAAAACAAAAGATGTTGACTTAGATAAATAAAACTGATCACTCTGTAATTAAAAAAAATGTTTTAAAATTGTATGTTAACTATCAGATTAAATGTTCTGTGTATTTTAGTGTAGAACATAAGTATTTTGATGTTACATTTATGTCTTGCCATCTTCAATTATTCATGTCTTTTTAGCATGCCAAATTTTGTTACAGTTCATCCAGGGTAGATAATAATAAAAATGTTTTATCTTTTTTAATGATAAAATGTCACTTGTGAGTCTTTTTTTTTATATTTCAGTTAGCCTTGTTGATAGATACAGGCAGCAGTAACTTGGCAGTAGCTGCTTCATCAGCTTTACCTGTGAAGAGGTATTTTCATATGAATGAGTAAGTTGAGGTCTTTGTAGATACTTTGAGTTCTGCACTAAAAGGTACATCGAAGCAATTCTACTTTTAGTTTATTGTTTGATTTTTTACATAAGTTTATCTTTATCATTCAAACTTGTGAATACTGTTCACAAGTTACTTGAATATACAATCATTACTTTCAAGTGATAGTGCATTATTTTTATGCCAGAAAGACCACCATAACATAAATCTGTATGCTTTAATAAGCTTTCCCATTGAAGTATTTTTTTGAACCAATTCAACACTGATTCACTTACACCAGACTAAGTTTTATATATTATCTGGTTGACTATTACTTAACACATTCTAGAATCATTTATTGAATCTTTACTTCTAAGAGTGATTGTAGCAAAGACCTGAAAAACCTTTGAGGCAACATTCACCCACTAACATTTTCCTTTATTCCCTGGCCATTTCTCTGCTACATAATCATCTGACATAATTTTCCTAAAAAAAAATGACAGTAGTATTTTGATTCAATAATTTTTACAATTACAATTGCTTGAAACTTAACTTGCTATGCTTTCTTGAAAGCAAGTGAAATTGAGAGTTAATTAGTTGGGAGTACACACTGTATACATGTACATAGTTTGACTATTCTGAAATCCTAACATAACATTGTCAAGTCTTCTGTTTTAAATTCAAAACATGGGTAAATTAATATAAAAGATAATAACTAACTCAATCAGATGTTGTTCACTTTTAATACTTAAACTCTGTTCATTCCTTGATACTTGTTACCTAATACCGAAGGAGATAAGTTATTGAAACTTAAATTTAACATCTTATTTTTTAATAATATTTTTTTTTCATTTTATAAAACTTGTATATTTTTTGGTAGTCCTTTTGGGGCCCATACATCTGGATTCTATGGTAGTGGCTCTACTTACTCAGTCTATTCTTATTCCACTCCTTTTTAGTAAAATTGTCTTCCAAGACAATAACTCACTCACACACAGAAATATTATCTTACTCACACATTCTGCCTATGAGACTTGCATGCCACAAGCCTTGACGTAACTCTTACCTAAATTCATGTATTTAACATGAACTGTGTTGGTGCATGATGATGTCATCATGTGATGAAAGCCCTCCAACAATACGAGGGTAACTTAACTTCCATATGCAGTAACTCCCTTTATGCATTTGCACTTTTGATAACTTCATTCTTCTCCTTAGCATTGTATTAAACAGATGTGTTCAAAATTTCTCATCTGAGCTAAGTTTGACAATATATTTGCATTTGTTAACAGAACTTTGATATTTATTTTCTTTGGCATTTGTTTCAAAAGCTTTAATTTTTAATCATGAATTCTCAAATGATGGTGACTTATACTTAGTCCTGTGTGAGTGACATTATTACACACACAGACTTTATTTCTGGAAGCTTGTTCAACATGTAGTGTATTACCACATGCTTACTGGGCCTCCTACTTCCATCCCATCAGCCTATGTTCTTTCTATTCAGTCAGAATTGTTCTGTTGAACAACGAATTTAACTTGATTCACTTTGGATAGTGCCTTACCATTCAAGGAGTGACCCTTGTTACGTATATTATTCCGAAGCTGAGTTAACTGATAATTTAAATTTAGTAATTAAACTGTACTTTGGACTTAACATTTAAATATATGCTGATATATTAGTTAATTTACGATATTTGCCAACAAGATTGACACACACCGTTTTCATTTTTAACACAAATACGTTTTAATATACACACAACAGTACAATTTACAATAACAATTATTACAAATAGTTACTGCAAACAATGATTTATAAACAGAAGTTTCACAAACTTAAAAACAATATAAAGTTTTCTTTCTAGTCTGGAACCTCCTTGATATCTTATCGAGGGTTCACGATGAGCGCGTTAATTACGAATTGACGGAGATTTATTTCACTTAACGGGAAGCCAGCTAGCTTTATCTCTCACTGATCACACAATGATTTTCCACCGTTGAAGTTAGGTAATGTTTTTATAAAAATACTAATGTCC